CAATTTACTTCTTGAAGATAAAGCACGCTTAACATGGCGATCGTAAGAGTGAATGGTTCAATGACTGAGTTAATGTTCCTGTGGGAAAGTTAATTACCGAGCTGAACGTTTGCTAGAGCGTATGAAAGTTTATGTTCCGCCTACTTCATTTCGAAAACGAAACCTGAACATTATTGTTGTAAATAGAGAGTCACTGTATTCGTAACCATCTTAGCAGTTTTTAATTTAATTTTAATAATTATGAATGTGATCATTGTGTTGATTTCCATTGTAAAGCTCTATATTATTAAAGATTTGTTATTAATACACAATGTGTACGTAAAACATTATTCTTTCCAAAGTATTTTAGTTACAATTGCTTTGCCTACGATCATTATTTTATAATTGATTTTTTGTATGTGTAGTTAATTTGAAAACTTTGTGAAGCACTGTTTATATTATCTTTTAATATTACTTATATTGTATAAATACTGTCTGTAAGGATAATTTCCCTAACTCTTTGGTTTTAACAATAATTTGATATTGTACCTACTAATTTGTTTGAGAACATTTGAAAACCACTCAAATTAGTTGCGAATAATTGTAACAAGAATTTGTGAAATACAGAACTACTGGAATGAAATTTAACATAAGACCAAAAAGGGTTAGAGGATCACGCACAGGAGTGATATTTTGTGGCATTTTAATATAACAGCAGGGACACTGGATATATAACAAAATGTGTACTTTCAAATGTTTGTTTTCAAACGTTACATCGAAACATTTCAATTTTTGCACTTGTTTCAATCAATTTGAAAATGCACTCTCTTCTTTTACAATATTCACAAGTGGTTCATAATGTAGAAGATAATATCGATTTGGAATACATTTCAGAATGTACCAATTCCACTAAACTTTCGTAATTAATTACATCAATGTGTTTGTATTAAAGTTTACAACACAAAACGTCTAAACTGATTTGATTGAAGAATTATTGTTCGAAACATGATAAACAATATTTTCACGATGGTAAATACAATAAACCGTAAAATTTTGATCGGCAATTATTCTCTTCCACTTGTGTAATTTGAACACGCCAATATTTCACATTTAAAACGCGATAAAACATTGTGACAACGATAAAATTTTAAAATCCTTTGTATTCGATATTCAAGGCGAACTCAAAAAAAGCAATAAATAAAAATATATTGACGTATGGGGATAGCGTAAAAGACTAATACAATAGAATCTCGATTATCCGATTTAATCTGTCTAATAAGATTCAAGATAAACGAAGATTTAAGAAGAAATTTTTCAAAATATGTTTGTATTTTAGTAAAAATACGGTGGTATATATTTCTAGTTAGTATCTAAGGATCCGAATTATTGAATTCCAATTTAATTAAGACACTAGAGAACCTAAAAAAATAGCGACTTGGTTAATCGAGGTTCTACTATACATGAATTCATTTCGTAATAACCGAGAAAAGGCGTATTGCTAATTTCTAAATTATTAAAAAATTATTTAACTCTTATGCTACCGACGGATTAATAATCCTAGAGCATAATTAAAAATTTCAATTAAGTAATCAAACTGCTTGAATTATGCTATTATCCATCCAATAGTTGTTTAAGGTCTACTTTACGAAATAAATCAGTTATTTGATTTACAGATTAGAAATTATTTCATCATTTGATCGTATTGCTACAATTTACGCCTGATTATTCATTTCAACACGTTGAATTTCGAACGGTCTCACACAGCAAACTACAAAAATTACAAACATAACCGAAATTATTTAATTGGATTACGTTATTATTACATTACACATTTATCTTGTTAAATATTACCGCATTAGATACCATTATTTCTAACATAAATATTTTCAAACATTCATTTAATTGATTGAATTACGACAATTCGATTTAGCTGTCACCTGTGACCCACAGCATTCAACGTTAATTCAATTTCGTTGCAAACTGAAACAAAAGAATCGGTAGTCTAAGAGTTAATCGCGGGACAAGAAATCTAGAATCCTCTCTCGCTGACGTGAAGTTCTAGCCGCGAACCATTTTACGAGATTAGATTGCGAAAGGGCCCTTATTGTTTCCCAAGTGAACGAAATAGAGAACGCCGGGCAGGGATATCGGTGTTCCCGGCGATTCCCAGAAAAGGAGGCTCATAACTTCTTGGTGACGATGTCAATAACGTCCTCTCTGCCGCGCCGGTTTCATTCGGACCGGAGACGGTGAAAGCAATCGGGGGCCACGTGTCCGCGAGCGCGCGTGTGTATTTCCATTGTCCTTGCTCTTTGAAAGGCGAGAAGAAGGAGCTTGATGAAATGCAGCGAGTAATTGCACGGAGGGCTGCGAGACGGGGGCCAGAGGTGGATGAATGCTTGGTTGGTTTGATTTGCAGAAGGGAGCGCCCGGGAAGAAGCCGCGAACAATGATAGGGAAAGCTCTTCTGATACTGTGCGCCTGCTCGACGATATCCCAGTGCTGCTACGTTTTCCCAAAAGGTACTTGAGGCCGGAGTAACGAGGGGGACCGACGTCGACGCCAACAACGTCTCGGTCTCTTCATATTCTATTCTCGGTCAACAAGACTTGATTTGTATCCGTGGGAACGCGTAACGAACGTCCCGCGGAACGAAACACGAAAAAGCGTTCCGTCTCGAGGGCCCGCGAACGCGTGAAATATGGAAAATTCATTTTCTTTCTCCCTTTTCTTGGTTTATTTGAACCTGCGCGGTTCTATGTCGGAGCGGGTTTGACATTTGATTTTGTCAATTGTTGAGTATTTTATTAATTTGGGTTATTATTCATTTACAATGTCGCTATTGTATTGCATACGCGCTGTTTTAGTGTTCTCGAGATGTTATTCGAGGAAGTTGATATTTTTCAGTTTTTGAATATGGGAAGATTTAGCGTTAGGTTTACGGATGTTTACCTTATGGTTTATTCCATTGTAAAAATTTATGTGCGTTCGTTTAGATCTTAGAAATTGGGGATTTGAAAATAGACTGTTAGGATACATTTTCGCTTAATTGTATCAATTAATATCAAATTGAGGCGTTCCGTAAACCTACTATTTAAGAGGTTCTATCAAAACTTTGTAACAGAATTTCAAATTGTTTTTTTTATTCAAATTTTCGAAGAAAGGAAGAACAAATATTACAAGAGAAGTTTTTAAAGAACACACTGTATCAGAATATGTTTTACAACGGGCGTTGTCGAAGGAAAAAACTACCCTTAACAATGTATTAATAAAAAATCATTGTAAACAATGTATCACAAACTTTCATCGTTTATCATTCAAACATAAAATTTCAACAAAAAGCAATTTTATCTCGCTTCGATCAAAAACCAAATTTCCCAGCAGCCAAATATTTTCATACTTCGAAAGACTCATCAAATCACCCCGAATACCCGATCATTCCCAATATTATTTCTCCTTTCAAGTAACCTATATCCGTCCGATTTTACGTACACAGACCGGTCTCGTCGCAGTGGAAGGGGAGTATCGTATCCGCGATAAACCGGCGGGGGTTACGCCAGTGGGACGGGGCGAAGAACGTTTTAATTGGGTTTACCGTTCTATATTCCTTCGCGGCGGTTCCATTAAAAATTTTCAGCGGCTTACCCGGCGCCGTTGAATATTCGCGGGAGCTTTTTATCCGTTTAAATATCGCGGAAGAAAGGAGATGGGCGGCCGTGGCCGCGGTCACGGCTCCGGCCGACTGTATTTTATCGCGCCGCGGTTGAATCTCCCCGGTAGACGATACTTTATTCATCGTGAATCGCGCGGATTTAATTTCACGCCGCTTTACGGCGCGTCCCGTGTTTACGGTTTGTAATTACGTTTGACGTCGGGGCGACCGCGGAGGATCAAAAACAGGAACAAAACGTGTAAAAGGAAAAATCGGCGGCAAAGAAACGGGTGAAAAGAGATATTGATTAAACCAGACCTCCCCTCCCGCCTGTTTCCGTCGCGGAATCGCTTTCCCCGAGCCAGGAGAAAAACGATTCCCCTTCCCAGGTTCACGGCGCGTGGCTTCTTTGCAGGACACGTTGCGGATCGCGATGTCCCCGGAGCGTCGCGATGGGGCCTTGATTATTCGTTGCCTCGCGTTTCCTTTGTTGTCCGCGCCGCTGCAACGCGATTGTCGGCCGCCGTGCACCGTGACGTTTAATTCTATGCGTGACATTAATTGTTGCTCGGAGAACTTGACGAGCGCCATTTAGTTTAGAGTTTACACGCCGGCTTTTTAACCCTCCGGCGGTACGCGCGTTTCTCGTAGATCGTTTGTGATACACGTTTGTTCGTTTCAACTACTGAATTATAGTTATAGAGACATTTTTGTGTTATTTTCGTGGGAGATAAATGGTCAGTTCTTGTGTTTGACGTTGATGTGATTTAGATATTATTCTTAGTTCGTTGCTGTTTGTACACTCTTTTATAAAGATTGACGATTGTTTGTAACCTTCTTGGGAAATTCTGGAGTTTTAGAGTTAATGAGCCTTCTATGGCTTGCACGGCCAGTGTTTTTATGACGCGGTTTTTTAATTGAAAGAGTGATCTAATTGTTGAAAATAGGGTAATACGTTGAAGATGAACTGGAAAAATACGAATCGAAGACATTCTTTTTGGTTGAGCACAATGTTAGCATCAATTGCTTATGTTATAAATAGGAAACTTGTATTTTCCATTTTGATAAATTTATAGAGTATGACAGAGAAACATAAAAAATATTTAATAGTTGAATAATTTCTGATTAAACTAACTGACAATTAAATGCTTAACGTGATCTTTCATCCATCCCAATATTATGAAAATTAATGTAGACTTCTTGTGTAGGGAATCAAACTCACAGCTTGATTATATTTATTGTAATCTCTATAACACCATTTTCTAAATTTATTTATCAAAGTTTTTTTTATAATTTTATTTTGAATTTTATAGGACGCTAATTCATACAATTATTAATTGTATCATTGCGATTGTCTTTGTCGTTACAGAAATCAAGGACCCCTGCACGAAACTCAATTGCACTGTAGGCTCGCAATGCGTACGAAGCAGGGACGGCACCGAGGCCTCTTGCGAATGCTTGGAATCCTGCCCGAATTTAGGGGATCATGAGGGATCGAGTCCTGTCTGCGGCACAGATGGGATCGACTATCCGTCTCTCTGCGAGCTAAACAGAGCGGCTTGCGCGAAGGGTGCTAATATCACAGTGGTATTCCAGGGGAAATGCGGTGAGTATTTTTCATAAGACTTCAACCGAACGCGTTAATACATTGTCGACTTTATTCTCGTTATCAGTAAGTTAACAGGTCATTCTTGTTAAGGAGGGGAATTATTGAATTGAATATGCGGGATAAACAATGTCACCCGTTTATAATGTTTCCGTTTAACCCATTCGCGTCTTCGCTCTGAATGTGAAGCTTACTTTATCAATCAGATATGCTCAACTCAAAGTCTTGCAAGCTATCGATTGAAATTAATCTGCTCCGACCGATAGAACCGAGGAACATATAGACAACTGAAAGTAATTGCCTGCGGAATATTCAGCTCTTGGTGATAAGCAACAGTTATTGTGTGCCGGTTATTCCGCTTAATGATGCGAATGGATTAAGGAAATGTATCAACGTTTCAAACGTTTTCATTTGTCACAGGACTTTTACTGTCCTCTTATAGCAATGAAGTTTGCTTTCTTATAAAAGCTAATACTGTATTGCAAGCGATTGACTAATATTGAACATTTTATTCATTTCTTTTGTAATCATTGTTATTTGAAAGCTACTCCATTTTATGGAGACACACCACAATTATTTACATCCTCGTTGTATTTTTATTAGATTAATGTTTCATAAAGTACAGATTCTATTTCGATTATCATAATTAACTAATCATAACTGCACTACGTAACGCAAAAACAATGTTAAATATTATTGAATCTATTTTTTACTTCTTCTTCTCTCATATTTAAGACTTCGATACAAAATCTAAAAGACTTTCTAGAAATCTAAAAAATTCTCATCCGTAAAGGGTTAAAAAGAAAGAAGAAAAATCTAAAAATATCTATCAGTTGCTTGGGTTCACAATCTCGGATCACAGGAGTGTTACATGGAAATCTCAAATGCATACGATGACACGAGTTGCGTATAAGATATCGATTCCAATGGAATGATTCCACGCTCCATGGTTTCCGGCGGTCCACGAATAAGGGATCCCAGCGGTGACATCGGATGCGCGCGTAGGACGCCGCGAATGTAAACGAGCGCATTTGGTCGGAAGTAATCTCGATCGCGCGCTTAAAGGCGCATGTAAATACGTACTGACAAACCGGCGCTTAAGCTTCGACTGACTTCGATTCAGCAAATATTTGTTTCGTCTGGAAACACCGGGTTGCAGTCTGCCCGAATATGCTTGCGCCTTGGACAAATAATCCTGCGCGGCGGTGTGTACGCTTCTTACAGCGGGACCAGAGTCCTTGTCAGCTTTTTCCGCTTTGACGCATAAATGTTCATTTTATGATTTGTTTATCTGAAAATGTGCCAACGATGAAGATTATTTTCATACAAAGTGCATTAACACTAGAATAACCGAGCATTCAATGCGATTAATATGTAATATTTATAGAAAATATAAGTTTTTCCATATATTATTTATAATATTGCAGTCAAATTATTTATTTTTCAAGTCGTTTCGGATATTTAACGCTGTTGAGGTATCAATAGTTGTGAAACAAGAAAAATGAAATCTGTTACTTTAACGAGACCGGTTGTTCTAATATTAATCTCTTGTTTTACGATTTATTTCGTTTCACATGTTTATGTTTGCGCTATTTAATTTTGTCGCGACTCGATAGACACAGCTATTATAAAGAAAACTGAAGTGTTATACGTTCGACTACATTTCTTTACGAGAAGAAGAAATTATTTTCGTTACGATACGGCAAATTTATAAAATAAATGACAAAACTGTATATTGCACGGAGAACACGCGCGAGCGAAACTCGTCATTTTCATTCGAAGAGTTAATAAAATTGAATAGTACATTTCGTTTTTGTTGTCAATCAAATGAAATTTAATTAATTTCAGTTATACATTTTGTTGTTAATTTCAATTTTTGGTCGTAAATATGTTGTTAGAATTAAAATATATTCATAATTTTCTCTTCTACATGTTAAAACTTATATTAAAAATTAATACAAGAAGGTAAAGTTTGTAAAAAATATGCACGTAAACTTTTAATTTTGTTACATCTTAAAGGTTCAGTCGCTTTGATTTCAAATTTCAAATTTTAAAAGTTACTTCTTCCTGTTTTATTGGGGGAATTTAGTTTGATGAAAATTAAGTAAAAATTCAAAGGCAATACATTTTTCTTCGTTAATTCGTTAATGTTATTTCTGTGTCTGTGTTTTTGATGTGTATACTTGGTGTTCCTTTTCTGCATGCTTTTGCTCTCGCTTCGCTGGCTGTACGGAAGATCAAAGAAATCGTGTTATCAATCAAAAGTATGAAGCTTTCCTTCTATTAGCACAGGGAAATATTATTCTAACAAGATTTCAAGAAATCAGAGTCAAACGAAGTTTAATCTAATTACGCGTTTCTTAAGACTATTAAAACGTAACAGCTAATTGAACTGCGAATTACTTTCTGTAAGTATTAATTCCACTGCCAGTTACTTTCTGTAATTGTTAATTTCTATTGACCTGAAATTGTAATCCAGAGAATTACAGTGAGTTGTAATTAATAATTATGGAAAGTATCTTGCAGATCGATTAGTAATTGTTTTTTAAAAGACTGCTAATATGTAAATCCCTTGACTTTAATGTAAATTGATTTTACGTTATTCTCTTTTTCACCGACTAAAAAGCAAATTTCTCGAATTTTATTAAAACAATTTCTCTCCTAAATAACAAAAGAAAGTATATTCTGTCTCTGATCACTTTGGTTCATTACCTTTGTCGGTGAATTCATATTCTCTATAAACGCTAATCATTTCAGCTCCACTAAATCGCGCGAAATAACGTTCCGCTGCTTCATTGGCAACAAAATCAGATCTCAAAGCCGTCACTCCTGGTGTACATATTTCCTTCAGCTCTTATTTCTCTTTATCAACAAAAAGTGGATTCATTTATCTGGTACACATTAGAGAAGAAGTAGAGAATGAAATATAGAATCCTATCGGGAAGAGCATCGGTTTCCAGGCGTTTGTCGAAAAAAGGAAGAAAATTCCATAAAAGCGTGGAATCGATCGGTCGGATGCGATATCTGTCTAGGGTAGCCCGGTCCGAGCAATATATTCCGCGTCGTGTATTCAGAACGGTAAGCCGAGATGATCACCAATTTAACAAAGGGGATCCAAGGGGAAGACTAATACGCTGCCGTAATAAAAGGCTTCAATCCAGAAACAATGCGTCTTTTCCTTCTGCGGCGTTCGCGCGTCACTCGCACCGCCGGGGCCGGACGGCGGAATTAATCAGCCTTGGTTTATACAGCCGGGCTCGACAATGGCGCATCGAAAAATAGTAGAGAATTAAACGAAAGCCCGACAAAAGGCGAAAGACATAAAGCCCACAAAAGGAAACGAGCGACCCGGGACGGCGTGAAATCGGCGGCGGCCCGCAACATCGTGGCCAACGAAAGACAGTGATAAATTAACGGTATGCGAGCAGCATTCGCTGAACGCCCTGACTCCCCGACGTTGTTCGGCTCACATCTGGGCTCGCCACGCTCCGGTTAAATCGTTCGCACACGTGGCCACGGGGAAATGCTACTTCCAGGCAACGCAACTTGCAATATTCGGAACTTTGTGTCTAGCTGGATCGATCCTGCGCTATGGATGGAAGGAATCCGCGTCTATCACGTTATTAATACTTTTACTCGTAAATTCGGGTGACATTTTTTCACATAAATTTCAAAATTTATGTTTTGGATAATAAATAGAGCAAACCGAATTTTATTGGGATTATGGGATGTAAGGAGGTTAAGAAAGCTGCGAAAAGTTTTAACTATCGAATACAAATACAATAATACTATAAATACGCGATTGTAAGAAAATCTAAACGAAGAGAAAGTCGAACGCTGCTCGTCTGCGTTTCGTCAATACGTGCCTTCTTAAGGGAAAGCGTGCTTGAGTCTCAGAGTACAATAAACACAGCGAAAGCCACGTTGATATGAGGAGCTCCAAAAAAACTTTAGACAACAATTCTCGGAGCCAGGCTAAAGGTAGTTCGAGGACCTCCAAAAAGCTTTAGACGATAATTTTCGGAATCCGCTTAAAAGCAGCTTAACGACTTCCAAAAGCTTTAGATAAACTAAGTCCAATTCTCAGGAAGGTAGCATAGATTAATTCCACTATCTATGCACGGTGTCCCGCTCAACCTAAATCTCTTTGTATATAAGATACCAATTTTGTACAACGACAAGTCAAAATAAAGTCAGCTCTGAAATAATAACGTTATTCTGTCTCATTTTAGCTCTCGATAATATAGAGAATAGCAGGATAAGCAGGTTCTTAGAATTCTTTTCGAAAACAGAGATGACTCTTATTTTATTCAAATTGACAAGAATCGAGCGATACGAAAACGGATGGAGATAGTCATGAGAAACATTCGATAAAAACAAGTGTCCGTTCGATGGACGTTAATGTTAAACTAAAATCAAATATGCATATATGTGCCAGTATCCTTGAAGAGGTTAAGAATCTTATACCACATTTGCTGCTCTAAACTGGCTACCGAGCACATATACGTCTCGCTTGGGGACATTAAACATCCATCCAGTCCCGTTGTGCGCTATTTATCACTTCTTAAAGATATATCCACCGTCAACGTTTCCCTTCTTCACTCGGCCTGCTTGTTAGTACTTATTCTTGGCGTCCTGTCCCGTCTCGAATATCCTCGTTCCATTTCCAACTCGTCGATTTTGCTCCCCCTCGATCTAGTTTCTGGTCTTTCAGCTTTCTTCTCGCCGATCGAACACGCTCGCCGGATGTCTTCTTTCCTCTGGCACACCTTCCAGGACACGCAGCCGAACGAATGAAGGCGCACCGTGCTCGAATGCAATATAAACTCGGCGAGCGTTTAATCAACCGAGTAGTAAAGACAAATGTTTGATCAGACAGGTAGCTGCGAGAGAAGGTGGAGGCTCGTTTACTTAGGATTAGGTGAATCCAACCGCCGCCGCCCCCTCCCATCGGCCAACATCCACGCCGCTTCTTATTCTTCGGACGAGCATGGCAAACG